GCGTTGCAAGAAGCATATTATTCAGTTTCGTGGTGATAACACTCTTATTAGTCATTTCAACGGAATTTCGAAGCATAAACGTAAATAGTGATGACTGTAAACGTTGGCTCCTGGAATGTGAAATGAATTGCATGTAAAGATTTGTCAAAATAAATTAACCTTCACAACAAAGGACAGTAAAGAGTGGTTATTGTAGCAGTAACAGTAAAGAGTATAACCGTTTTGGAATTGAAATTTTTTTTATATAGATAAAAATATTAGTCATAAAAATTCTTTAAAAGCGTGTACATTATACACATCCATAAGTATGTGCATATGTTAACATTTTTAGCGCTTATTACATACATGTATATATGTATGACAAACTAAAAATGTTTGTATGTATAAGAATGTACATTCTACATACTTCTTTTAATTCGGGCTCCCGCAAAGAATTATGTAGAACCTACAAAATCCGCTAAATCTGTAACTTGTTCGCAAAAATTATTTTACATCACTCATACATGTAGAGCACCCTATATTGTCAATGACAAATTCATTAAAGTTTGCTGGGAGTTATTGTTTTATTTTTCGCTGATGATGCAAAGTAGCGGAAGTCAATGTTTACGTGTCGACAATCGCACGCAATATAGCCAGCACAGAATTGCTATATTCACATACATACATATATGTATATTGTACATACACGTATAAGCATACAGATGGTCTTATCCAAACAAGAAAATTAAGGGTTTTCAGATCATATAAATAAAAGAAATCAAAGACAATTCGGTAAATGTATAGTTTAGGCCCCCCAACTAAGGAGGCCTCAAAAGGGTTAATTTTTTGAAGCGCGGCCAAAGGCCTCCATTGCGGAAAGGAGTTCGACGATCTCCGATATTCGTCCATACCATCAGATCGGGGCGCAAAAGAAATTATGACTGTTACATTTCTTCAGTATACTTTTTTCACAAGAAAATGTTTAACACGCTGAACTGGTAATTACAGCTAAGTGATCTGAATTCTACAGAATTTTGTCGCTACAACAACAACAACAACTAAGTGACTTGAATATATGATATTTGCAAAGTGGGTTAAATAAATTTTGAAAAATATACATAAATTATTGAAAAAGTTCCCTTTCCGCTAACGGATTTGTAATCTACGCGTAAAAATAAGACGATTTAAAAAAAAAAATTTTTGAGACCGACCTCCTTAGTTGGGGGACCTAAACTATACATTTACCGACAATTCAATCTTCATACTTATACCGGCTTCAAAGAAGATGCCCCACCCAAATAAGAATTTTGACTTACCCAAGTCTTCCATTGTACAGGTTTTAGCTTTTACTGATGTCGACCTATTGGAATGCAAAAACCCGTCACAATACGAATTGGCACGGATTAAATAGTTGACTCTTCTTTTTAACTTTACTTCAATGAAGGTTACTGCTTTGCACACACAAAACAAAATATATGCAGCACAACACAAAAATCGTATTTCACTATAGATGTATGTATATAAATATAATATGTATAATAAATCACAGCTTAAACTTAAAAAAAAATTATTTTTAATATGTTGGCAAAATCTTATATGAGCCAGAAAAACCGAGTTTAGTCACTTTTAACAATTCTCTACAAACTCCAATTGCCCCAATTGACGGCCAAATGAATTCGCAACGGAATGAGACAAGTTTTACCTATAGCGATGTACCAAGCTATCGATAATTTTACCGATTATCGTCTTCTTGTATTAATTTATTTATTCGGCAATGGAATTGTTTACGCAAGTATTGCTTATAAATGCTTCAATAATATATGTTTATTTTTTATTCTTTTATTTAATATAAATTTAACTATATGAAAATCAAATCATATGAAGCACGATGATGTAAATAGCCTGATAAATAAATCGATTACAAAGTGCATTGCGACATCTATATACCAATAGCCAGTTTAAGATAAAGTGGACAGAGCTGTTCATTCTTAAAAAATTAATCAGCTGATTCCGTAAATCTGCAGGAACGAATCCTCTGGTATAAGTTTGTTTCATAACGGCTATCAGCCGTTAGCTATTAGGGGCAACCAGAATGCAAGCTATTCTTACAATAAGCGAAATAACGATAAGTAAAGAAACAGAAAACAAGCAGAAATTAGCAAGAAATGCTTAAAATTTTGTTTATAATAATCACATCATATCAACATTTGAAAATTAATCAATAGAACTTTTTTTCATTGTTCTAAATTATTAAAATAAACAAAATCAAAGCAAACCGTCAAATATCGCAAGTTGTACGAGTTGTTGTATTTAACAGCTGTTTCCTCATATTACAGTAAGAACTTTACGCTAGCAGAAACTAGCTCTGCTTCATGAGCTACAAATTTAAATTCCACAAAATAAGCGGATTGAGTAAGGCTCTGAGTATTCGGAACATGGAACCCATTTGTTATTGTTCATATAACGAAAATTTTGTAAAAATTAAATGCTTATTTAGAGCAAATACTTAGATATTTAATATAAAATAAATATGTAGAAACATTGAAGTGAAGTGTTAGTGTATAAAAGATGCATAATATAAAAGAAAAGTTAACCATAAATCGAGAAATTGTAAAATAAATTTGTAAAATTTTCAACTTAAAATGCAGATACCGCGAAATCTATAAGTTTCCCGCGGCAATAATTATATATATTCGTGATCTGTATTCAACCTTCCTGCTAACTAGCAAAGCGCTTCTCAAACCAAAAAATTAGCAGAAAAAAGCACAAGTTGAGAGCGTTAAAAACGAAGAGAGCTGCTAGTTTCTGCTAGTAAAATTTTTGTTAGGAGCAAATAGCTACTGCCGTATGAAAAAAAAAGCTGTGTAAACAAGCGAAATTTGACGAATATGCTTTGATTTTGTTTATTTTAGTTAAACACAAGATTTTCATATTTTCTTATTTCCTAATTTTTGCTAGTTTTCCGTTTCTTTACTTTTTTTTTGTTATTGCTCTTGGGAAAGCTTTAGTATAACGTCCCAGGCTTTCGGGGATAAAATGTGCGGATGGAGGAGATCCTCCAGATCAAGAATATATATAGATATAGCCGCGGGAAACTTATAGTTTTCGAGATATTTGGGTTTAAAGTTCAAAATTTCGACTATTTAAAGTACGCATTTTTCCCATTTTGAATGAGTTATACACTTATATTTTCCACTTTTATATCCACTAACACTTCACTAAGTCGTTTGTACACGTTTATTTTACATTATATAGTCCAAAAATAGTTTAATTCAATAATTAAATTATTGTTAAATTCTATTAATTATGACAATAGCAAAAGGGTTGCAAAATTTCAAATAACCAGTGTTACCTTATCGACATCTTTTGTAATTGAACTGAAAGAAATTAAAACAGAAAATACCCCAAATACAGGAATCCAAAACTTAGAGAAATGACTATTACAAAGTATTGATGTTAAGTATTATGTTATACCCTCTATGACAATATTACTTTTTTCTTGTAGAACTTCTTTTTGCGTTGGCGGCCTTCGGCCGCGCTTTAAAAAAATAACCCTGGTCGGTCCAACACCGGGGTGTATCAAGGTTTTTTTGCGCAGAACTTCTTTTTGCGATGGCGGCCTTCGGCCGCGCTTCAAAAAAATTAACCCTGGTCGATCCAACACCGGGGTGTACCAAAGTTTTTACGCGCAGAAATTCTTTTTGCGTTGTTTCCTGTATCTAAGGTACAATCTCTCTGTTTATTTTATTTTTCTTCGTTTACAAAATATATTAGTATGGCAACACTGATGTTTTGACATTCACAACCATTTGGTTATTGTCAAAATTAATAATATTGAAGAATGATTTAAATATTGAAATAATATTAAAAACAATTTCTAAAAACGAATTAGTCAAGTGTTAGTGGATATAAAGGTGAAAAATATAAGCGTATAATTCATTTTAAATCGCAAAAATACGTACTTTAAATAGTTGAAATTTTCAAATTTGAACGTAAATATCTCGAAAACTATAAGTTTCCCGCGGCTATATCTATATATTCTTGAACTGGAGGATCTCCTCTATCCGCCCATACCCATTTTATCCCCGAAAGTCTGGGACGTTATTCTAAAGCCGACCTTTGCTCTTTGTGAGAGTAAGTTTTTAGAATATTTTTATTTACATTAAATAATAAGTTAAAAATACGATTAATACATACTTATGTTTGTGGATGAACAAAACCGTGGCAGTTTCTATTAATCCAAATGCTTTGGATAGTGTTCAAATAGTTTTGTGGAGTGATGCTGAATTGATAGTTTGGCTGAAAAAATTATAAATATTATTTATAATTCTTCAGCCTGTAGTTGAAAATGCAAGATAAAACGTTAACCGAAACTATAACCCTTCACAAATACAAAAAATCCCATACAAGAGCTTGATATTTATATATGTATGTAGTTGTCCGATCTGGACAATTTCTTTTGAGATTGCACTGTTACCTTGGGCAATAATCCTTGCCAAATTTCGTTAATATATCTTGTCAATGCTATAAAAATTTCCATAGGCACGCTATACTATAATTTGTATATTATGAGTACTTTATTTTTATTCAGTGCTGATCTGTTATACACACTTTATATAATTTCAAACAAACACAATTATTTACTTAACAATTTTACAAATACAAAATATAACATAAATCGCTTTACATACATCAATATAATGCCAATAAAATACACAAAAACTACGGTACAATAATACAAATCTATGTAACATATTATTATAATAATAATTATGAAGGTATTTGATTACTAAGTAACTATTTCAGCAATTTACGTTACAAATTTATAAACCAAATTGGGGTTTATATTATATACATCTACCGAAAAATATTTTTACACATTTTGGATTAAATTATGCTAATTTACTCGCTAATCAAATTCTTAAAATACATATATGTATATAGAAATATTTTCAATAAAAACAAACAAAATATGAATTTCAAAGTACTTCATTAGAGTATAAAAAAAAAAACTAAAAAGGTATATATAAAAACTTTATTTCTAGTAAAAATTCTATATATAGTAACAAATATTTGGATCTTTGTATAACCAAGTATAAAAGGTAGATGTATAAACTATTTATTCACTTCTTCATTTGAATGTTTTTAATTTTCAAAAACATGGTTTACTATTTTCTTTTTAGTGGAAAATTCATTAAAACTCATGACAACTTGCTACTACATTCTGTTTTTTTTTTTTGTTTGATTTTGGTTTAACAAACAAAACCGCATTAAGTTTTAAATTTAGCAAAAGAGCATACAAATTGATTCTTAAAAAACCTAAATACCACCACCAAAAACATTGCTAATGGTTTTTATTAGTTTACGTCACTTTTAAATGTATAAATTTAGATATTTTTCCTTATCTTAATTCATTTTATGCTTCTTTTTAATATAAAACTCTTATAAAATTTTGTATATATTTTTCCAGTTTAAACAATTAATTGGGTTTGACATTTTATATAAATGCTTTATGCCGCCAAAATGGGCTGGGCAACGTAGTTTAGTTATGTAAAAGCCTCCTTTTGCTGAATATAAAGAGTACATTATATTATGAAATCTTATATATAAAAAAAAAATACATAAATACAAAAATTGCATACTCATTTGCTTACATAAAAATGCATATCTTATTGTTACTAATGTCTTTTTGGTGCTAAACTACAAAATGACTTTCGTCAAAAAATGATTGCCAGTACATACATATATTTAGATATACAATAGGTATATAAAACGTGCTTAAAGGTGTAAGTTCATATTATATTGTTCATATTCGCTCTTGGTCATTTAAATATGTTGAGCATAAACTTCACGACGTTGTTCATTAACTTATAACACTGATATGAATAAATGATATGAGCAGCTTGAAGTCTGCTCTCATATACATACATATATGTACATACAAACATACATATATCTAAAAATTTAAAATGTGATTTATGTGCTCATGTATATGTAGTCGACATAAATAATTTTACTTTCTTATTAGCTCGTTTCTTGATGTAACTTTGTCCGCTTAAAAACAGTTGATAGTGAATTAAAAAATTATTCTTATAACTCATATCAGAATGAGTATTGGTTGTATGAATTTCGTATTTAAAAAGCTTCCAATCATTAACATCTAATATGTGTACCGTCTTTTAAACCGTTTGGTAGCTGCGTCAGAAGGAACGAAACAGACAGCAGGCGAAAAGTATGGTCAATAGCTGGTAATATTAAAAAAAAAAACTAGTTTGATATAAATTTTTAAGAGTATTTGTTATAAAATACCTGTATAGCCGCTACGCCGAGTACCACGCCAGCTAAAATTAATGTTTTGGAGTCGAGCAGGGTGAGCAGCTTTTTTAGACAGCCTTCCGAATGGGCGTGAACTACCGTACAGTCTTGAGCTTCGTTCAAATTGATTACCGTGCAGCATGCAGGTGGCAGAGAGTTGTTGTGAAATATCGGTTCCCAATCCTTCGGACCAAAGGTTCCACAACAGTCCATCTGACGAATGAACCAAAACACATTTTATTTACAAATGAATGATTACAAATTGAAAATATGCTGAATAACCCCACCACCCATTACCCAATGCGGTTGTTCACGCAGAAATACTATATAAGAAAATATCATTCAATTAAAGCTCGTACGAAGAAATTACGGAAGCCTAGTTTAACTCGATATATGGTAACTGTATCGCTACTTCAAGGTTGCCTCTTGGAGACTGGGTAGACGTTTTCAAAACATATTGTGCATTATGTAATCTCGAAAACTTCATATTGTGAACCGTCCGACCCGAAATTATTTTGCCCAAAAATTCGTTGCCGTGATTAATATACTTTTTTGTAAACATCAAACTATTTAATCGTTTCTTTTTCACTTATGAGTAGAATTGAAAATAATACAATATACATTAAAATAAATAATTAAATTAAGATTTGAATTATTTTCTTTTTTGTGATCCCGAAAATTAAAAATTGAAAATCTTAGATTCAATCCAAAATTTTTTAATTAAAAAATTCGCAATCCTGCTTATGAGCTGCTAAAATGGAGTTCACTGATTCTACCCAAGAGTTCCAGACGTTCTTTTTAGTACTAACGTCGCTTTCGCTAGACGTAGTCAAGTTTTCATGAAAGTTTAAAATGCAGATGAGAATTCAATTGTCTTATTTAATATTAGAAAAATTAAATTTCCGATTATTTTTGAAAGCCATTATACATATGCATACCTCGAGAACCAATTAAAGTAAGAAAAATTTGTTTTTATTAGTTTACGTTTTTTCTAAAATTCGTCTGATAAAATTGATTCATACGAGTCAAGTTTTGATAACGATTTATTTACAACAAATATGAAAGGGCTAAGTTGGGTGTAACAACGAAACATTTCCCCCTAATTTCAATTATATATCGCACATATTCACCGATATTTTCAGCAAAAAGGAAATATTCGTACAAATTTTTATCCCGATATACAAGTATTAGTTAGTTAGCTATTATTGTGTATACTGGAAAGTGAAAAAATCGGATGAAATTCAAATTTGTGTTATATGGGAGGTAGGCGTGGCCGTAGTCCGATTTCGCCCACTGTACCATGGGAATGTTAAAATAATCCCATGTATCATATTTGTTTGAAATTGGTGTAGTGGTTCCGGAGATATTTGATTTCAAATAAATGTGGGCGGTGACACGCCTATATTCCAATTTTTTACATCGGCACCAATAAAACCTCCTTGTACCATCCTGGATGTAAAATTGAATGTCTCTGACGCATTTAGTTAGTGATTTAGCGCACTTTTAGTTGTTTTTAATAAAAACCGTTATATGGGGAGTGGTCGGGATTATCATCCATTTTCATACTGTCGAAGAAAGGGTCAAAAATATTTATTTTGTGCGAATTTGAGTCATGTAGCTCGAATGGTTTGGGAGATATATACATTAAACTTATCAGAGGCGGGGCCATGTCCACTTTTTAAAAATTTGTTCGGCCATAGATACCCCTTCCCAATGCAATTCGTTGTACTGAATAATAGCCCTGTATTTTATTGTGGGGCTTAGTTATTTCACTTTATACGTTTTCGATTAATGGCGTTTTGTGGGCATGGCAGTGGTCCGATTACGCCCATCTACAATACCAAACTTCTTAAGATGCCAAGAAATATACATATGTACCACGTTTCATAAAGATATAATATTTTAACTTTTACTCTAGTTACAGCTTGCACGAGCCTGATTTCAACTCGTCTTGTCGTACTATCATTTATATATCTGTATATAACTCTATATGTCTATCTTGATTAGTTTTAGGTGATACATAAAACCGTTATGTGAACAATACTTTTATATTCTGTAGCAACATGTTGCAAGAGCATAAAAATGACGTGCGAGAACGTTCTACGATTACATACATTACATACACAAATACATACCTCACTTTGCAAAAGCGACCAAGCATCACGATTTTCTTTGCGTTCGTTGTATTCTTTCATTGTGTTATTGAACTGTTCCTCCATTATATCACTCAGAGATGCATGTTTAGCATAACCAGCTATACCTAAACCGATTTCGAACAAGAATATAATAACCGCCAAAATAACGAATGACAGTATCATGCAACTATTCTCTTTCAAGGCGCCGCAACAGCCGAGGAAACAGATAATTGCTATGGTTGCGCCGACTATAATCAAAATAATGGGCACAGTCCATATGTGGTCGCTGACAAAATTCGAATAATGAGAATAGTTCAACTGCACCATAGCACCTACAATTAGGATGAGCAGTCCGCTTAGCTGAATAGCGAACAATAAAGAAAAATTATTAAATAAATAATTAACAGCAATGGTGAAATAGACTAAAAAAAAAATAAAAATATACTGATTAGATACTCACAGCGAAAAGTAAATTACAAAAAAATGTAATAAACTTCGCACAACCTAAGCCACCAGAAGCCATTTTGCTTTATTGTATGCTGTTGCAGACTTTCGATTTCTAAAAAATTGTAAAAGAAAATTTTATTATGATAATTATTGAAGAATTCATTACTTTTATAGGTATTTACAAACTTTAGCTACTTTTAGATATGTATGTACGTATGCAACAGCTATATTTTGATATTTACTACCGAAATATTCCGTTATATATGGCGCGAACGACCGTTTCCGCACGAATTTTATTTACATCTGCCATTGCTAGCAGCTAATCGAACATCTAATTCTTTGACTAGCTCAACACACATACACATACGTGCGATTAAGTAAAAGCGAGTAGTAGGGTAGTACACAGCACGTCTGTAAACGGCACTTTTAACGAGACAAATATGCTCGTCCGTCACCTGCAAGCGTGTATGCATCTACATACATACATATGTGCCCATAATTATGAAAGTAGTCTAAGTCATATATTTCTTATTTCGAGCTATTTCATGAATCGCATTTGAATAAATTAAAAAATATTTATACATTATGCGACATTTTAATTTAAAAATTTCTTAGTCTTGATTAATAGAAATTTATTCTAGACATAAATTTCATCGGAAAATGCTGTTTTTAGAGCTTGAGCTGACTTAGACCATTTTCAAAAATAACTGAATCTCCTATAATTGACTTAAAGTAATAAAAAGTTGTGATTTTTACTTGAAACAGCAACTTTAACGAAATAATTCATAAACAATTATTATTAATTATTGAAAAATAATCCATTTTTATCCAAAACTTTGAATTTAGAATCATCTAAAGAAGTCTTATATATTATATTATAATTATAAGGTTTATTTTTCAAGAATCTCATTCATTGAGTTTTTAGCCAAGAGACAGATTCGCTCGCGGTATTATTTACTCTCCCGACTGCGACAATAGTATAAGTTCCGATGAGCCCAACATCTGCATTTCAGTTATTCGATTGTCATTTATTTTATCGATATATCATGTAGTTCAGAAACGCGACAAAGAGGGCTACGCGGTATTATGTTTATATAATTTCTTTAAATTATTGACTTAGACGACTTTCATAATTAACACTACATGAATTCCGTATAACGTTGTAATTACAACTACTATCTAAAGGTTCATTTCTGACGATATCGTAAGAATTACATTGAATAAATTTAGTTTAAAATCATATCGTGTAAAATAAGTGATAAATATTTTTTTTTTAATTTTGACTTAGACCACTTTCATAATTATGGGCACATATACTCTTTGACAAATTCTACTTACATACCTACACAAGAGTATATGTATATGTATAGACAACTAAAAAAACGGCTATGCGGTGGCCAACTGTGGCGGTGGTTAATACAGTGGAAACACAATGAACCAAATCGAAAAATAAATCAATATTACCGTGCAAATACGCAAGTATAAGCCGTGGCAATAATGGACATTACCAACCCTGAACCCTACGACCCCATTCTACCACAAACCTCAGCTACCAACGCTGCACGAACGCACACCACAACACAAGTGATAAAGTGAAAGTGTCGAAAGATCTTCAATTTTATCCATCGCAAACTTTAACGGTGTTTTGGATTTTTAAAATTAATAACAGTTTATAGTCCAGTCACTTAAAAGTTATGTATGTACATAGGTACATCCTAGCATATAGCTGCCATAAACTGACTGATCAAAATCAAATAAGGAAAACGTCATTTTTTGACGATATTTCTTCACGAAATTTGGTATGGATTTTTGTCAAAAATTGTGTCGCTACAATCTCCGAATATTTTGTTCAGATCGGACTGCTATAGCATATGAGGTTTGTTCAAAAAGTATCGCGAATTTTGAATTTTCGCTGGCTACGTGTATTCGAGTTTCGATTGTTTGGTTGCGTTCTGTTGGTACTTATATCCCTTACTTATGCTGACAAGGTTGGCCATTTTGAAAAATTAGTTAATTTTTGACAACGCGTTTTGCTTCGTCTTCGATTTTTTCTTATTACAAAAAAATGGATCAAATTAAATAACTTGGAAAATATTTTCAGAGCGCCGAGAAGATTTGAACGAAGAAGTGAAGAAAATAGTATTGGTCAACCGTCGAATCACCAGTACAGAAATTGCTGAAGAACTAACTAAACATATACGAGTATATTGGCTCGTGCCATTCGATTTTAACCAATGATTTGGGTATGAGTCGGGTAGTCAAAAACAGCGTCGCGTTGACATTGCTCAGAAACATTCAAAATGACCAACCCTATCAGCCGAAGTAAGGGATATGAGTACCAACAGAACGCAACAAAACAACAAATTTCCAAAGATTTTTGAACAAACCTCGTATAGCTGCCAACTGACCGATCAAAATAAAGATAAAGATCTTTTTACACCCTTTATGAAAGAAAAATTGCACCGGTGAGGGGTATTAAAGTTTCGGTGCAGCCGAAATTAACGTCTTATCTTGTATATATTTGTTTATGCGCTTACACATAAAACTCAAAAGTGAATGCAGGGTATCAAATAAAATACTTTTATGGTAAAAATAACAACATATATTAATATTAAATAGATTTGTATACATATTTAAATATAAGTGGTGATCCTACTCTTTTTTATTTTACAATTGCGCGTCTTTCTCAATTACGAGTCAAAGGGTGAAAATTCCAAGTCCGTAAACCTTTTAGTTGAGAATTGACAGCTGCAAAATTTTTATATTCATACTGAAATGTTCTAGTTTTGTTTTCTTTCGAGCAGTTGGTATTTAATTATTCAGTTATCAAAGCTATTTTGGATTTACCGTAACATGAAATGAGTGAAACGAGCAGCTAACTTCCGATCTCACCTTCTACTGCAAGCAATTATTGGCAAATTACATGACCCAATTCGAATAAAATCGATATGCACCTGATAAAGTAAAGAACTAATATCTCCTATATATCCATATATGTAATTATGCATTAAGAAATATACGTACAGTAAATAAATACGATTAACTACACTGAAATATACGAGTACGTAGAGATTATACGAGGGTTAGGTTTTATATTTCAAGAACAACAACAAATGGTAATCGTCGAAAATCATTTTATTGATTTGAAAAATATTCTCCATTAAGATTTATACGGAACTAAAAAGAAGTCATTCTGTGCGAAGAAAGGACTATAAGGTAGATGACTCATCAATTCGATGTTTTGAGTGCTCAAAAATGCAGTTGTTTCAGTAGATGAAGAGTGATCCTTTTTCGGCGGTTAGTTTTCCTGATTTCTTGAAAGATAACTGGCCAACAAATGGTAGTGTACTACTCAGAATTTACTGTTCTGCGTTTAGTAGTATGGTTGCGCCATGTCTAGTTTTCTAAACCAAGAAAAACCCAGGAACCATTTGCTTGGTAGTGCTTCGTTCGCGGACTCGGCTCATCTAGAAACGCCCATACAGTCGATTGCTGTTTACATTTGGGCTCATACGCGTAAATCCACCATTCATCACTTGTTACGATGTTAAAAACGTGTTTCGAAACACCGCTATCGTATTTTTTTAACATTTATCTCGACCAATCGACACGAGCCTGTTTTTGAGCGATTGACAAATTGTATGGGATCCAACGTGAACAAATTTTTTTTCAGTCAAATGTTCATACAATATTCAATGTGTGCTAGTTCCACTAATGACCGTAATTGTCTCAATCTCACGATAGGTCACATAACGATCTTGCAATATCATAGGTCAGCATCAATAGTTTCTGGAACAGCAACCGATTTTGGACGACCTTCACGAAATTTATCTTGGAATGTCTACGACCTTGATTGAATTCACCATATGATAAACACTGGTCTTTAATGGAGCTTCATCGCCAAAAATTGAATTAAGTTCATCGATGCACCTGTGCTGAGTTCATCGACGTCAAAATTTGTAAAAAAAAATAATCGCGCTAAAATGTGCGCGGTTTAATTCCATTTTTTGGCCGAGATGAATATTTTAAATTACTGTAAACAACACAAATAGCGCTCGTATGTCAAAACGTTCTTAGTATGTACACCATCATGTCAAACTATACGATAAAGTTGAGAGTTACCCGATTACAACACAAAGTTTGCTAAGTCCCGAAATATAAAAGGCAACATACGTAATAATACAACTATGGCGCTTTTTTATATTTTGACAGGTGCTAGTGGGCACGCGCACTTTTTGCTAATTACCAAATTTTTTTAAAACAAAATTTTTGGTAGCTTAATGACGTCGTGGGGGTATCCCATCTTATCGACCGGTTTAACGCTTCTTTCTCCTCCGAGCATACTGTGCATTTTTCTGGCTCCACATTACTAAGTTTCTGACGGTGAGATCTTAAGGTAAGTGCCTTAGTTCGGGATGCGATCTATGTTGGTTTGTAAATACGAGGTGGAGCTGAAAGATCTTTGCAAAATTGTACGTACTACTGAATATATCCACCATAATCTCACTCACTTTAATTAATCTAGATGATAAAAATTATCTGCAGGTTTCAACAGAAACATTGCACCAAACTTTTTGCTGTTTTTCCCTATGATGGGGTTGATTTTGGCGAATCCAATCGCTTTTTTGTGTTCAGCCCAGATATTATCAACGGAATTGAGATCTGGAGATTGTTTAAGTCGCACCAGAACGTCCATATTTTTTGGATACTAAACTATGGCCAGATTGGAATAGTGTTTCTGTTGGAACGTCCTAAAAAGTGTCATATGATTCTCGGCATATTGTAACATTACTGTTCTTACCAACAACTTACGTTTACCTTGAAGCCCTTAGCCTTCAGAACGACAAACATTTCTATTACTATCATTTTTAAAAAAATTTATATCGTTTTTCGGCCTAGAGAGTGTTATACCATTTTTTTTGCACTTCTGTCCGCACCAAATTTTGTGATTTAAAAGAAACTTTTCATTATAAGTTATTTGGCGGCTGCAGGAAATATTTCGAGCAATTCACCCGGTAGGTCTGCACTTAACAAATGTTGTCGTACGTTTCGAGCCGATACATTTAAATAAATTTGACATATAATTGTCTTGGAAGAGAGGAATGGGTTGAATCTACCCAAAGTTACAATATGACTGTCTATCAGTTACCAGGTACGTAACCGGAATTATTATCAACGGGAGGATTATCAACTCGTTAGCATTCCTCAAAATTGGGAATGATCAGCGTGACGAGCTGAGTCGGTTTAGACATGTCTGTCTGTCTGTATGTACACGTGAAAGTTTCACAGTTTTGAGATATTGCTCTGAAATTTTGCACTTGTCCTTTTCTCTCCAATAAGCTGCTCATTTGTTGGAACTTGATAAGATATCTTCACCAAATTTGGCATGGATTATTTCCCAAGGCAACGCTACAATATTTAAAGAAGTTTTCCAAATTGGACCACTATAGAATACAAGTATATAATAGATGCTTTAGAAATTGAAGGATCCAAATAAAGTTTTTATATGAAACAAGATATCTTCATTAAATTCGGCATGGATTATTGTCCAAAGCAACCCTACAATACCCGAAGAGATTTTCTAGATCGGACTACTATATCATATAGCTGTCATATGATCTGAACAATCTAAATTTTTTTTTACATTCATACGTATATACATATACAAGTACTTATATGGTATATGAATTTGTTAGAGCACTGTCTTGCATGCACTGTAGTCTACGGCGTAGGCTGTACGCTGACCTCTCTTAATAAACGAGTTCAATCGAAATTGGGCAGCATATTGGAAACATGTATGATTTACGCATGAGCTAGTTAAAAATAAGAATCGTATGTTCGTTTACATAAGTATGTGATCTGTATATAATAATGTACTACCTAATTCCTTTTCTTTTTTGTTGTGAAATCGATTCCATTATAATTCCTTCAATGGTGTATGCATAAACATTAACAAATTGAAAGCTAACATTTTAAATATTTAAAAGCTCTATATCTTAAAAAACACTCTTTACATAAATACATACACATATGTAATTCCCAGTTTTCATTAAAAAATGCCCATCTCGAATTCTTGTACATATGTATGCGTATTTAAGTAACAAAGTTAAATTAATATCATGACGCTTCCTACAATAAAATTGCACGTATTATATAAGAAATTATTTACTTCTTGTATGAGTGATATTTGATATCTACTGCTTATACACTATGACTTTAATTTCCCGCTATATAACCAAACTTTGCACTTACATTTAAAAACATATTTTTTATACACACATAAAGTAATTTCCTATTTGCGTTCAGATATTGTGCTCCTATTTAAACTAATTTGGCAAATACTTTAAGCAACATCCTTATTAACAACATTTCATAACAAACTACCAACATTTTCTTGTAGATTTTCTCATAATCTAACAATATTTCAACATTTTTGTGTACGTACATACATATATAAGTATACATATAGTATATGCATGTCTGTGAATGTTGTTGTTGTTGTTGTAGCGGCAGAATTCTACCGAGTTGACAGTCCTTGGCCGGAATAAATCCGGGTCCGTTTCGGTTACGTAGACCCGACTGTCGTGGGAACGGTCTGTGAATTCGCCTATCAACGATGTTTTTGTTTTGTATGCTTTATCAGATTCCTGCATCTACAAACTTGCAAATATTTGCAAGTACATACATATATGTATATAAAGATTTATTTATGTTTGTATTCGTTCAGTATTACCTGAGTTATCACTAGAGTACTAAAATATTATGCTGAATAAAAACTTAATTGTTTTTCCACAAAATTTCTATTTTGCAGTTTACTTTGTTGTTTTACAACAATATACTTAAAATAATTATTGTTCTTTCCACCACTGCACTGTTCAAGATTTGACTGAAAAAACCGACTGCAAATATAGGTGATAAACTGTGCAAAGTGTAAGAAAGGTACAAAAGGTAGCTAAAATATGGTTGCCATGTTTATAATTTGTACTATTTTCACTGTTGATACCTGTTAATTTACATCCTCTTAAGTCTCTTTTTATGAAATTCAAAACAGATCTGTTATAGGTTAGTGTGAGCATGAAAAATCTCGAAACTAGCTAGATATTTATTACACAAGAAGGAATAATTAATTGAATATTGTTAATAAAGTTGAAAATGAAAAAGTGAGAAAACAAAAAAATTGCATTGGTCGGCTGATGGGGATCGAATAAAATCAAAAACCATCAATTAGTTTAATTTTGTATATCCATAATCGTTAAAAGAGTTCTATAAGATGAAACCGAAAATAAAAGTATTTACAATGTTAATAAAATATTTCTTTGAATATTATTGCCGAAGAGTTTTTTTGCTAAATAGAAATTATTGACGGATCTAAAAATTTCCCCCCTTCAGAATGATACCCAATCAATAAAAAAAATTTATAAATGCTACCAAATTTAAAAAAAAAACACTTTAAAAATTTGTAAGTCAATGTATTCCAAATGTATTAGTTTTGATGGAAATATATAACTCTTGGCAAGCTGTATGCAAAAACAATGATGGTGGTGAGTTTAAGAAAATACCGATACGAACTGTGCCATACTGTACGCTCTTGTACTTATATCGTGGCTCTCGCGTTTATAAACCGAATACCGGCACATGAATTTATAAAGTAATTCAACATTTCATACACAGCTTGATGTAAGTGTGTTGTTTTTATAAAGATAAGTTAATTATTTATTCCATACAATACCACTTGGCTTGTTCTTCCAGTTATGTGTTCTTTGTGTTGATAAAAACAAAATTCTTACGCATCAACAAAACGCAAGGCAAAGAATCACTACATACAAAATACAGAGAACAATAACATACAGTGAAAATGTCATACGAAGGCAGAAACAGAGAACGTATGTTATGACATAACGTTTTATGATATACGTTCTCTGGCAGAAATGAAATTGATGTTCAAATAAATGGTTTATAGATACAGGGGCGTATTATATTGAATTGTGAATACAGTAGCGCACCAGAACATTGGTATAGCAATGAAATATACAAACAAGATGATTTGTATGTAAACGAAGTCTCAGTACTCAATATTTACAAATAAAACTTTTTTCGCATACTATTGTATATTTACATTCGGAGAATGTCATATTTTGCAGTTCGGTTATTGTTATTCTCGTAATAAGCATTATCACCTAATATTGCTCCAGGAGACATAAAATAAGCAGGACCTAGAAGTACCAAACCTAGCATACAAAACCAGTAAGGAAGAAACAAGTTCGAGTGTATCCGTACATTTTATACTTCCGCAAGGATCAAAGCCGGGGAAATTTATTTAGCTATGGGCAAAACTTTATACAATATTAAGGAATGTTGCGAAAGAATTCAACTTTCATTATTCGACGAAAGGGTGCAAGGATTACAATCATGTCTGGTATCTTATTAAATTATATTAGAGGCCGTAGACTCACTTAGCCTCATTACTATAGTTTGCTTCATATCCTGGACTTTAGGACTTAAACCATAGTCTAGACCGATTTTATTGATATTTGGCGCTAAACAACATTATGGCTATAAAAATATCGAGATGTCACATATATCTACCAAAATAAACGGCTTAGGATTAGCAATAAAGTCGGAAATTATTATATCAGGTGTATTTGGGCTAGGAGAAGGTATGTGCAATGTATATTCGGAAACATGTTTCTACGCAATTTTATGAAGATAACATACATTCTGCCCGAGATATGCTTCATAAAGTCTGATAAAATAACAAAAATCTTTATAAAAGTGTGTGTGTAGTATATGGTAGCTGGGGAATTAGTTGAGCAATTTTACACATTTTCTGCAAAAAACTATAATATATCTATTGTTATAAGTTCGCTTAGTTTTAATAATCTTATATATTGAGAGAAATATATGAGTTGTATTGACTAGATTTAATCCATTTTTGACATTACGACATATAATTATCAGAGAAACATATTCTACGATTTTCATTGAGAAACCTCGCAGACTGATCGATATATACAGTATAAAATTAACATAAAGCCCGAAAATCTTTACGTGAGATATAGAATTGATTTTATCCATTTTTGACACGAGGCTACTATAATCAGGAAAATACTCTCTCTGAATTTCAATAATACATATGTATATCTCACAGATTGACCGATATTTACGGTTATTATATTATATTATAATTCTGATCCGATTATGACAAATTTTAAACTTGAGATAGCATCTCATAAATACACTATTTGTGCAAAGTTTCATCCCAATTTATTTTTTGGTCTTTGCTTTGTATACGGTAAAGTAGAAGAATCATAATGAATTTAAAATTTTGTTATATGGGAAGGAGGCGTGGTAAATGGTTAAGTTTCCATTTCGCCCGTTTTCACACTGTTACATAAGAACGGCAAGATAATGTTAAGTACCAAATTTAGTTGAAATTAGTTAAGCTGGTCCTGAGATATGGGATTTTAACTATAAACACCGTCGGAGGTTATACCGAAAACGAATTTGGTTGATTTAACTTTAACGGTTTGGGAGATATGTATATTAAACCTATTAAAGCGCGGGTCAAAATTATTCAAAACAACAGATGCCTCTACTTATTTGTTATACCAAATATGAGTTTTATATTGTATTATGGAGTTTAGTTAGAGCCCTTTAACTGTTTTTATTTCACGATATTTTGTGCGTGTGGCACTGGTCCGATTCCGCTTATCTACCATACCAACCCCCACTGAGTGCCGGGGAATACATGTCCAAGTTTCATCAAGATATCTCGATCTTTACTCATGTTATCGGTTGTACGGACGGATGGACACACAAACAGTTACTCGGAACTCAATTCATCTCGTTACCCTGATCATTTACATACTCTATATAACTCTATATCTATCTTGATTAGTTTTAGGTAATATAAACAACCGTTAGGTAAACAAAACTATAATAGATAACAAATTTGTAGAACGTTGGTCGCAGAACCCTTTCATGCGGAACGTTTGCTAGCATTGGGTAAGAGATTCCTTGCTTCCAAAATAGTCGTTAAATAATTTCCTATACGAACCCTAAAATAAAGCCGACATAACTTCACTAGCTAACTACTCCTCTCCACGCTTTGGATTAGGTTCATCGAGTTCATTATGTCTGCATGAATATCAATTGAATTGCGGAGGAAAACTATTTAGCCATATTTCCCCTTTGTCATACAAGTATGTACAAGTATATCAACACAAAAATGTATTACGTTTGCAGAGCTCCAACACTACTCAAAATCATCAACTCTCTTAGTCAGTATGTTCTTTGAAATCTTTAGAGGGTCAGCTATTTTAATCAGTTTCATTTTATGGTCATCCAAAATCATTTTGTGTTTTTATACTTTTGCAACTTGTTGCTACAGAGAGTTTGTTAACAGTTATATGTTTCACCTAAAACTAATCGAGATATATATAGAGTTATATATACTTATATAAATAATCAGGGAGACGAGACAAGTTGAAATCCGGGTTGTCTGTATGTCCGCCTGTCCGCCCACAAAACGCCATTAATCGAAAACCTATAAAGTGCCACTACTAAGCTCCACAATAAGATACCACGAATCGCATGGAGGAGGGGCATATATGGTTGAAAAAAGTTTAATGTATATACCTTCTAAACCATTCGAGATATATGATCCAAATTTGTAAAGAATAAATATTCCCCCTTCGACAGTGTAAAAATAGATGAATTTGGATGATAACCCCGCCCACAGAGATATTCAATTTTAACCCCGAGGTGGTATAAGAGGACTTTATAGGAGCAGGTGTCAAAATTGGACACTTTTAAGGAAAATTCTATATCTCGAGACCGGCTCGATCGATTTCAACCAAATTTGGTACACCACTTTTTTCGGATTTTCCTATGTTATATTGCGAAACCGCCTACTTCCCATATAACACAATTTTAAATACCCTCTGGTACTTTCACTTTCCAGTTATAACCACAAATTGTCAAAATCGGACTACAACTGTTCAAGCTCCCAGATACCGAATTTGTGGACCCCACCTATAGTTGAATTTTTAATGAAAATATCGGTCCATGTGTGAGATTTATATTTGAAATTCAGAGAGGATCCTGTATATCAAAAATAGGTTGAATCGGGTCAATAGTTCCCTTAGCCCCCATATACCTTAAACATTTTTAATCTTCCGGGTAACTTTGTACCGAATATATCGGCCACTATGTGAGTTATCTCAATGAAAATGAGAGAGCGTGTTTTACTCATAAAAGTGTATCTTTGTGCCTAAAATGGCTAAAAACTTGACCTAACCCACATATAACTAATATCAATATTTACGAACATCCGACAGACTACTCCATATGATTGGTAATGGTAAGTGAGGTACCTTAATGAAACCCTGGGATTTTCTTTGTCTGTGGCATGTTAGTAGTATGTGGTAAACGGCATAAATTGATAACATTGGATCATTACTACCCCTAACTCCCACATACTACTTAAAATGCTTTTTGTTATTCTAACAAGTTTTATACCGAATATGTCGGTGAGTGAGTATTATTTATATTTAAAATTGCTTCAAAATGTGTTCTCGATTGCTGAGCTGAGCAATGTCAAAATTAATGGGCTGATTGCAATCCTTTCTCTATCCCCAATATAATAAATTCCGTTGACACCTCCTTATGCATTGTGAAAATGAGTGAGTCGTATGATAATCACGCGCACTCAATAACGGTTACGTTAAAAACAACTCTAAGTGCGAGAACTCACTAAACAAATACGTCAGAAACAATAAAAGAAAACAATCAAAGGATGCGATGCAAAAATTGGACAATTGGCGTGGCACTGCCCACCTTTAGTGGGATTTAATTGCGTAACATTATCTGGTCATATTACACTGTTAAAATCGACGAAATCGGGCCGACCAAATTTGGTTGAGGATTTTGTAAACTTTTTTTTCGAATTCTTATGTCGTAAATGTTGTGTTCTCAAGAATGTTGTGTCGAAATTTCAAGTAGATTAGAGCAAAGTTTACGTAATTTGATGTTATTGAAGTATTTTTATACCTGTCTTATGAACGTTTTAAATTAAACTTTTTACATTAAAGCGCTTTTCCCACAACTCACGTTTTCAAAGTCGGTGCTTCTCATACTTTCAAAATTACTGCATCGATCGTTTTGATATTTTGAACAATATTTCTATAGATATATGGACGGTTTTTTTTCTATTTTGTTAATATTTTTAATTTTACAGAAACACTTTAATCAATTTTTTCTCAACAATCGCGCTTTTTCTCTAAAAATGTCCCCAAAAAGTGAGAAGTGTATTAATTTCAGATGAACGAGTATAAGGGGCACCACAATTCACATTCCAGAGTAATTGCTGTCATGCTCGTATTTTTGAATACTTCTCCATGAAAATTTGGCTGGACTCTAAAAATAGATTTTAACTGTTTCGTAAAAAAAATAATAAAATGGATAATGGAGAAAATAACTTCTCCTGACATTTCAAAACATTAGAAATTCTTACCTAATTGTAAATATTTTCGTAACATTCCTTCTAACGCATCCAACGCCTAATTAAACTGTAAAAATAGTTAAATTTTATAATTTGTATATTATTTTAAAACTTTTTTGTACTTGAGAATTTGAATAAAAATATGATTTTAAGACTACCATGTTATCCAAAATTA